GATCAGAAGAGTGTGGCAGAAGGAGTGCAGCAGCTGCTCTTGAACTTTTCTTAGCAAAAAAAGAAGGCAGGGAAGAGACATATAAACTGAGAAAGGTCCGAAACTGAGATCTGTTAACAAGAACTGAGGGGAACAAAAGAGCTTTATAAACAGTACCCATTTATTGTCCTTTATGTTCTAGGCTTCTATTTCAACAAAATTCTAACACACGACAGCAACGTTGGTATCTTAGCATTCGTGCGAGAACCGGGCTTTTCCTTTTAGACTGGACGGGCACTTCCAAACTGTATGTAACCTCTAACATGATATTCGCTGTTCTCAAAAGACAGGCCTGTAGAGCATGCACTCGTTCCGAAAGATGTGAAAAAATAACCAGGCAAAGAGACCGAAATCTTATATAATAACTAGAGCTAGAATTTAAGCTCTTCCTTGTTTTTCTCAATCTCGTTCGAGTGATAAGAACACAAAAGACTCAAACATAGTGGTGCTCTATAAAGTTATTATTATAAAGATTTTTATAAATGTATGACTGCAAGCCAAATTATCTTCCTAAAAATATAGCCGCTAAATATATAGTAAACATCTAATACGTTAGCTTATGGTATGGATGTCAGTCATGTCTTGTCACCATCATATTTTCCTTCTGTAAGGTTTTCTTAAAAATGATAACAGGTAAGAGGTCAACAACCCATGGCATCTGTGAAAATCACCTACGTGTCATGCCACTTCAAACCCCAGCCTGCTCTTACGACCAGTTCCTGGAGAACATTCATCCTCATTCTTGGCATAAACTTCAAGCTCACCTCCACAGACTTAAGCTTCCAGAAGCCGTCTCTGGCACCAGCATACATTTTTTTGTCCTTCCCATTCCTGTCCTCTTGGCATACTAATGTTTTGATAGGTTGATGCCACATACTTTGTGCGTGCTCTACCTGCAAATACTGCCCAACAAAACTCCCTCATCATTCGCTTTACACAAAGGCTGTTCATTTAAAGGAAACCTGTTGCAAAACTCATGCTAAACTAGTTAGCTCCTTTGGCTTATTTTAAATAATTCGATTTATAAAAATGATTTCTAATAAAAATTTCAAGTATATTACACTTGCGTGAAGCATTCCAAATTGAGACAAGGAGAGCTCTTATAAACTGCATAAGCCTCTTCTGTCAGGCATAATTCTTTAGAGTTTGACCATTCTTTGAGCACTAAAGTAACTTGCATAAAGAAGTTATTTGCATAAATATTCTGTCAGAGATATATATGCCTGTGAGTACTTTAATCTTAATGACCACGTCTGTATTTACTTCATTAATGGCAAATGTATATTTCATAATAGTTAAACTAATTATGGGAGTATCTCCAAAGAACCAGAATTAACCCTGTACTCAGAAAGGGAAGACGTGTAGCGAATGGATTTGATATACTTTACTCCATGATCCCCTGATACTCAAAACACCTTACGTGACATCTCCGAAAAAATACATTTTTCACGTAAAGTCATTTAACTAGAAATTACTGAGTATCTTCTACGTGCCAGAATCTGTGCTGGGCTTAGGTATCCAGTGCAAGACAGGGTTCTTGCATATAGTTGCTGTATTTTTGCACTATTCCGTTAACATTTCCAGATTTGACACAACAGTACACATTTTATTATAGTACTGAGCATACAGTAAGTGCAAAATACATACTTACTTGATTGATGTGCAAATACCAAAATTTATTAGACTAATAATTTTAGCTGATCCTACTCCCACCCACCACTGCCTCCGCCCTTATGCTCTGAGGTTAGCAGACAGCAATATGTTCCAAAGCTAAGGGAAATATTTCCACATTCTTAATGGAAATACAAAAGGGACGGAGGAAGAG